CGGGCGAGCGGCTCGCGGCGGCTGCGGATTCCTGAGCCGTGTCCAAGGCGCCCGGGGAGTCCTCCTCCTCCTCCTCCTCCTCCTCTTCTTCTTCTCCCTCACCCCACCCAGCTCCCACCCCTGCGCGCCCGTAACTTGGGAACCGTTGGCAAACTTGGTGCAGCGCGGGCTACGCGCCCGCCGGGCCTCCGGGTGAAAGGAGGGGAGGAGAGGGAGGAGCTGAGGGGAAGGGGGAGGCGGCCGCCCCCGGGGAGCCGTGCTCTCCGGGACCCCTCTATGGGCCTTTGTTCCGGGCGCTGCACCTCGGCCGGCCCCTCCCGGGGAACTCCCTTGGGGCCGCTCAGATTCCCCCGCCCCCCCACCCCCGAGAGTCTGGGAGGAGCTCTTGGGCCCTGGGTGGGTAGGTGGGGGAGATGCCGCGTGGAGACAGTCGCAGCATCACTCTGTTGGAGCCCCCAGGGCAGTTACTGGCTTCTCATCTTGTTCCTACTTAGGTAGAACCCTCTGGTTGTGTGGGTTCTACGCCATCTCTGCCCCAGGGATGGGGGAAGTCCTCCCTCCCAAGGGGGACTGGTGGTCCGGATGATGGTCCCCCAGGCTTACAAAGACTACAACACCCCCTCTCTGTGCAGTCACAGGTCACCACTGGCCCTTTTGCTCCTCCATGGCCAGTCCGGGGCTCCTGGAATGCAAGACCCGGGAAGTGAGAAGGAAGTAGAGTTCACGTGGGCCAGCTGGACCCTCCCGGGCAGCTAGCACCTTGGGCCAGGGGGCTGCTGGACGAGTGGGGACACAGTCGCCTCCCGCGCATGGGGCAGTGCCCAGCTGGGGACATTTGCAAAACAATTGGCCTACAATATTTAAAAAGTCAATGACATGGAAGACAAAGAAAAAGGCCATTTCAGATTAGAAGAGACTAAAGAGACCTGAGTGCTATGGTAGGCAGACTCTAAAATGGTCTTCAGTGACACCCCCACTCCGGTGTTCACACCCTGTGCAATTCCTTCCCTTTGAGTGTGCCTGGACCTGGTGACCTGCTTGTAATAAATAATACAGTAGAGATGATAGGATGTCACTTTTGAGTTTACGAAAGACTAATTTAGGTTACAGAAGACTGTGACTTCTGTCTTGCTAGCATTCTTTCTCTGGCTCTTCTCAACTCTCTTAGTCTGATGAAATAAGTTGCTAAATTATGAGCTGCACTCTGGAAAGACCCATTTTTCAAGGAACTGAGGAAGGGAGACCTCTAACCAACAACCAGCAAGAAACTGAGGCCCTTCGGCCAATACAATAGTCTGCGATGATTCAGATCCAGCCAACAATCGCTGAGTGAGTCTGAATGCAGATCCTGCTCCAGTTGAAGCTGAGATCACGGTTGCCCTGGCCAACATCTCAATTGCAGCTTTATGGAACCATAAGTCAAAGAGCTCAGTTAAGCCACATCCAGATTCCTGACCCACTGGAACTGTGAGATGATAACGGTTGTTTCAAGCCACTAAGTTTTGGGGTGACTTGTTATGCAGTACATATAATGAATACAAACACTAAATGCAATGTATAATCCTGAACTAGATCCTGGAACTGAAAAATAAAATATTACTATGAAAGACATTATTTAGATGATTGACAAAATATAGAGACCGAATGAATAATAATATTGTGTCATTTAAATTTCCTGAATTTGATAACTGTACTGTTTTATAAGATGATATTGGTTGGTTAGAGATAAACATTGAATATTTAGAGTCATAATTTCTGCCACTTACTCTCAAATGGTGCAGAAATAATAGAAAATATACATATTATATGTAATATGTAATAGAGTTTCACTTATCTATTAGTTTATCTGTTATATAACAAACCAACTCAAAACTTAATGACGTAAAACAACAAAAATGTATTATTTCTCACAATTTTGTGGATTGACTGAACTCATCTGGAAGACTCCTCTGTTCCATATGGCATCAGCCCCTCGCTGTGCTGCGTTCAGCTGGCAATTGGGATAAGCTGGAAAGTCCTAGAAGACTTTACTCCCATGTGTGGTACCTTTGTGCTTTGACCTTACTCTCCCCATGTGGCTAGTTTGGCTTCCTCACAGCATGGTAGTTTCAGAGCAGTCAGATTTCTTGCAGAGTGGCTGGCTTCCAGGAAAAAGTGTAAGCTGTGCATCCTCTTAAGGCAGTCCAGCTGCATGCTGGGCATTCTTGGGGTCTGGGGCAAATCCTCTTTTCTGGGCCAGGAAGAACTGATTGGCAATGACTCAGGGAAGAATCCTGGGGGCAAAGGAGGAAGGGAAGAGGAAGAATATAAAGAGGTTCCTTCAGCTGGAGTTAAAGGGCTCAGAGGCTCAAGAGCCTAGAGTAAGCTCCTCCCTCTCCCTATTGTCCCACACCATCTCAGCTTCCTCTGCCTCCTGATCATTTTAACCTAAGAGCTCATTTAAGATGTCAAGGGCTGGAGTGGGGGAAAGAAAAATGTCACTTAGCACAAAGTATCGAGAGCTTTACTCATCTTATTTCATTTAACTCTGCAAAGAAACCATTATTGTCCCCTTTGAAAAGAGGAGGTAGCAGAGGTCTCAAGAGGTATGATGACGTGAACAGACTCATACTGCAAAAGTATTGAACCAAAAAATTTATTTGCTCCTTTATTCAACAAACATTTTTTGGCACAGGACTGTGCTGGGCTTGAGAACACAAGGATGAATGATGTTATAGTCAGCTGTTGCTACAATAATGCTACAAAACAAACATCTTCCAAGTCTTAGTGGCCTAAAACAACAAGTATTTATTTCCCTCATTCACATGTCGGTGGGTCAGCAAGGATTCTGTTTCAAGCCACAGATTGGCTGGGCTTTCGTCCAGCCTTACGGTTGGGTTCAGGTCTAATCTTCACATCCCCACATTCTACTTGGACCAGTGGCTACCTGGGACACCTTTTTCTCAAGGTAGATTGCAGGAGTACAAGCCAAACCACCCAAGTACATTTAAAGTCTCTGTTGACATCACTGACCAAAGCAAATTCCATGCCAAACCTAGAGGCATTAAAGCAGAGAAGTCTATTCTACCCACCATGAAGCCATTGTGATGGCATAGACAGCAAATTCTGTGACAAGGGAAAGGAAGAATTAAGAGCAGGGCGTCTAGTCTGCCACAGGGGACAAGGCACAGGACTTGCCTTCAGGGAGCTCACAGTCTAGTAGGGGGACTCATAATGACACAATTACAACACAGTACAGTAAGTGCAATGAGGATGCGTAGGTGCGTGGCACATGTGTGTGTGCACTCATGCACACTATGGGAATATAGAGGTGGCTCCCTGCAGACTTTCTAGAAAATGAGATTGCTAAGGTAAATGCTAAAGGATAAAATAAACAGGCATTGTTGGTTGAAATAGAGGAGGTGGGTAGGGAAGCGAGGAAGGACATTATAGGTACTTACAACTGTGTGAGCGAAGGCGAGGAGACCAGAAACAGGATGGTATGTTCAGGAAAATTGCGAATCTGTTTGTTGTCCCCAGAGTTTAATGGGGAGGGCATCGGACGTCAGAGGGAATTGGTGAGATGTAGGCAGGAGCCCAGCCACAGAGGGCCTTGGTCATGTGCTGGGTATCTTCCCCTCACCTCCCCAGAGCACTTCCCACCCTTCTGCACTCTGCTCCCTGTCCTGGGTGACTGGCTTGCATGGACTGCAGCCAAAACCTCTCTTATTCTGAGGAGATGACAGACTGTAGTTTTTGCCTCTTCCCCAAGTTCCCCTTTTATGGACTAAACTGTGTCCTCCCAAAGTTCATATGTCGAAGCCCTAACCCCCAAAGTGACTATAGTTAGAGACAGGGCCTTTAAGAATGTAGTTTAGGTTTAATGAGGCACGGGGCCCTAATCCATCAAGATTGGTGTCTTTAGAAGAGGAAGAAGAATCAGAGAGAGATCTCGTGCTCTCTCTGTGTGCTCACAGAGGAAAGGCTCTGTGAGGACGCAGTAAGAAGGCGGCTGTCTGCAAACCAGGAAGAAAGGTCTCACCCAAAAACAACTCTCACAGTACCTTGATCTTGGACTTCCAGCCTCCAGAACTGTGAGAAAATAAATTTCTGGTGTTTAAGCCACCCAGTCAGTGGTATTTTGTTATGACGGCCCTAACAGACTAATACTCCCCTACTCCAAAAATAACAACAACAACAAAACAACTAGGATAAGAAAAAATCAGAAGATCCACAGGTAACATCTACAGCAAAACTGGGTGACAAGTTAAACCCGCAAGCCCAAAATACAGGTGGGTTGGAGACAAAGCACAGGCAGTTACTAGACTCATGTGATAGCAGTATCTGTGTGGGAGGAGGTAGAAGGAAGACAACTGGACTTCTGATAGTCCTGAGAACAGGTAACCCCCTCCCACCCCCAATCACCAACTAGTACTCAAAAGTATGGCAGGTCAATGCAATGGCAGCTGAATCTGGAAAATAATTTTTTCAAAATCCAGTTTGCATGTGAATGACAAGGGACCACTGTGCAATGAAGTCTGATGGTGCTGGAGCCATCTGGGCTTTATAAACATGCTTTTGCTTTTCCTATAAATTCTTGAAACTAATAGACTGATGCACCCTTTCCTGACAAAGTCTCACACTGAGAATTTGAGAATGGAATCCAAACTGATTACGACAGGCATACTAAGGATAAAGAGAAGCTCTAGATAAAAGTGGGGTTGTAGGATGAAGAATCAAGGAATCTCAGAAAGTACAAAGCCATGTCTGTGTGCGTGCGCATGCACACGTGTACACATGTATTACATATACACATGTATATCTACGTACATATATATAATCATTAATGCAGATT